GATAAGTGGGACAATCTAGGTTTATACATACCGGTATATATACAATTAATATGATTGTTCAGAACATGGAGGAAAGGCTGGCAAGATAGTGGCATAATGTGAGAGAGTATTAGCAACTAGAGTACAGGAAAGTGTTAAAAGAATTATCTAAGGTGGCAGGAATTCCTTTTGGAAGAATGAAATTCATCAGTTACTGATGTGGAAGAATGAATTGTTTGCTTGGGGAAAGTAAGGAGCAGATACAGAAGGATTCATTATGTAGAGAAGAGAGGGACAGATGGAGCTGGTGATTTTCACCTACTGTAGCACATTAATATGCAGAGGAACCTGAACTACTGGGGATTTGAGAAATGAGGCATGTGAATCACAGAAAGGCTTTAGAAGGACTGGAGGATGTTCTGGGGGTGAGCAAAAGCAGAGTTATCCCAAGACTGACATGTATGAACAGCACCTGGTGAATTCCAACAGCTGCTAGTGTGCAAGTATCTGCAGGGCTGTTAAGTGACAGGCACTAGCCAAAATAGAATTGACAACTCAAAGTCGTGCCAAATTTTATGTAGAATCCCATCCAGCACCCTTTAAAGAATTGGAAAGATTCCTGTTGGCTTCAATCTGAGTTTGGGAAGACTCCTACTCACCTACACGTTCACTCTAGCCAGAGCCCGGCTCCAAAATGGGCACCTGCCAGGCATGGCTCACACAGAAGTGGCCAGTACTGAAAGTGGTTGGTGGCTCTCCCCTTCCCTTGGCAGTGCCTTCACAGCTCCACCAACACTGGCGCTCTTCGTTTGCTCTGCCACCAAACCCTCACCTACCCCCTTACCCACGCCAGAGCGCAGCTCCAAAATGCACACCTACCCCCTAGGGCTCCCACGCAGAAGTGGCCAGGACTGAAAGCTGTTAGTGGCCTTCACCTTTCCTTGGCAGCCACTTGCGGCCACCAGAAAAGCCTGGCAAAAGCTGCCAGATGCTCTGGAAGGCGGCACAGACCTGCCTGGGCGTCAGCAAAGCCTGGCAAAAGCTCTGGGGTGCTCTGGAAGGAAGCAGGGCCCCTTGTGGACCTCACAAAGCTTGACAAAAGCTTTGGGGCACTCTGGAGAGAAGCAAGGCCCCTGGCAGGCCAGAGCAAAACCCAGCAAAAGCCCTACTGGCATGCTGGAGGGAAGCAGGGACCCCTGTGGGCACTGGCAAAAGCCCAACAGCCATCAGATACTCTGGAATGTTAGGGTTAGGGGTATGGGTTAGGGTAAGGTTTAGGGTTAGGGTTAGGGCCATTAGGGTAAGGAGTTAGAGATAGGGTTAGAGGTTAGGGTTAGGGTTAGGGGGGTCAGGGGTTAGGGATAGGGTTGGGGTTGGGAGTTAGGGATTGGAGTTAGTGTTAATTTTAGGATTAGGGTTAGATTTTCGGTTTAGGGTTACGGGCTTAGATTTAGCAGTTTAGAGTAAGGGTTTAGGTTGTGCGGCTGGGGTTAGAGTTAGGGGTTATGTCTTAGGGTTAGGAGTTAGGGATAGGATTAGGGTTAATGTTAGGGATAGGGTTAAGGTTAGGTTTGCTGTTTAAGGTAAGGGTTAGGGGCTGGTGATAGGGGTTTGGGTTAGGGTTAGGGTTGGTCATATAATTAGGGTTAGAGTTAATGTTAGATTTAGAATTAGGGTTAGGTTTTTTAATTAGGTTTAGGGGGTTAGAATAAGTGGGTTAGAGTTAGGTGGTTAGATATAGGGAGTTAGGGTTAGGATTTAGGGTTAGGGGCCAGGGGTTAGGATTAGTGGTTATGGTCAATGTTAGGGGTCAGGATTAGTGTTAATATTTAGCGTGAGGTTTTGTGGTTAGTTTTTATATTAGGGTTAGGTTTAGTTTAGGGTTGGGGTTAGGAGTTAGGTTTAGGTGCTATGTTAAGGGTTAGGGTTAGGGGCAAGTGATATGGTTAGGGATAGGGTTAGGTTTAAGGGTTTGAGGTAGGGTTATGGTTAGGGGGTTGGGTTAGGATTAAAGTTTTTGGGTAGGATTAGGGGATTAGGATTAGGGGTTAGGTTTAGGTTTAAGAGTTACAGGTCAGGGTTAGAGTTAGGGTCAGGGTTAGGGTTTAGGGCTAAGGGTTAAGATTTACTGGTTAGGCTTAGGGATAGAGTTAAATGTTTATTTTAGGTTTGGGGTTAGTGTTAGAGGGTTAGGGGGTTAGAGATAGAGTTATCATTAGGGTTTAGGGTTAGGAGTTTGAGTTAGTTTTAGGATTTGGGATTAGGGTTATGGTTACAAGATTAGAGTTTGAGGATGTTTATGGTTAACTTTCAGGGTTAGGGGTTAGGTTTCATGTTAAGGGTAAGGGTTAGGGTCAGGTTTAGTGGTTAGTGCTAGGGTTAGGGACAGAGTTAGGGTTTGGGTTAGGGGTTAGAGCTTAGGGTTAGGGTTGGGGTTAGGGTTTATAGTTAGCATTATGTTTAGAATTAGGTTTACAGTTTGGGGTTAGAGTTAGATAGAGGGTTAGAGGATTAGATTTAGGGTGTTATGTTTAGGGTTAGGGTTTAGCCTTAGGGACTAGGGTTTAGGATTAGGAGTTAGGGTCAGGGTCAGGGTTAGCATTAAGGATTAGGGTTAGCATTAAGGATTAGGATTAGGTTTAGGGGTTAAGGTTTTTTTTTAGGGGTTTAAAGTTTAGGGTTAGGATTTAGGGTTAGGGTTACTTTTAGAGGTTAGATTTAGGGTCTGATTTAGGGTTTGGGTATGGGCTAGAGTTAGTTTTAATGTTTAGGGTTAGGTTTTAGGGTGGTTTTTTTAAAATAAATTATAAAAGTTAATGAATAATAAGAGGTGTAATGGACATGGTATCTGTCATCTTTAGCTGGTTATTTGCCGTTGCTCCACATACCATTTTTAGACGACAACAAGAGTTGGAATCTGGGTGCGTTGCTGCACATAGGAACATAAGTGTTTCATCTCACAGAATCACAGAATGGTCAGGGCTGGAAGGGACCTCTGGAGATCATCTAGTCCACCCCCCCTGCCAGAGCAGGGTCACCTACAACAGGTTGCACAGGACAGCATCCAGGCGGGTTTTGAATGTCTCCACAAACAAGAGTTTGTGCATCTGCCACAAACAAGATTTTTTCAGCAGAGTTAACCCAGGTTCCAGCTGACACACACGATGGTTTAGTACAAGCCTGAACTGTCATTAAAGACCCCTGGGTCTGAGAACCCAGTCAGACATGCAAGTGATACAAATCCAGGAGGAATTACTGGTACTTTGGAAGATAGGCTCATCAAGTAGACATGGGTCCTGATGTAAATGAGAGAACCGTTGGTGGCATTCAGGAGATTCATGGAAAACAGTTCATGCAGCCAGAAATAGTCAGATGCACAAATAGAAGAATGGCAAAGAAGCCAAGGAACAGGTCAGAAGCTGCAAGATATGATGACTAACAATAGAAGTCACTAGCCTGACATGGCTTGTAGGAGGAGCAGATGCCAGTCACACCAACTAACACTTGTAAGTGCATCACAAATCATAGCTGCCAGGTAGTAACTCTGCTGTCCTTAGTGTGTGTTAAACTCCAGTTTCTGATTTAGGAAAGAACTAACAAAAAAGAGCAAAAACGCATACACATGTTCTTTGAGAAGCACGATAGAAACAATGAGTGGTTTGATAAAAAAGGAAGAGAACCAGTGGTGTTTAATCCAGCAAGACTGGAAAAACAGGGAAATCGTGACATTCTAAGGGTGGACAAATGGACATTGTGCAGAGTTTGGATAGTGAATCAGTAGTTACGAGGCATGGAACAAGACCTCATCTGGTGCATCTTTCCTAGAGCTAGTAAATAATAGACTATGTTTTTATCATACAGCTATGTTCCATTAAAAAAATAAAAAAAAATAATTTAAAACCCCAACAATTAAGTGACTTAATAATCACCCTGGTCATCCCAGATGAGTTTGCAGTTCTCTGACCTGAGCTGATACTGCAAGGAAGTCTAGTTCTTGTTTCATGCAGGAGTAGCAAAGTTGATGGGCTGTGAGATGCCGGGACTAGAGACTGACGATGTATCTGTGGCAAATCGCTAGATTTCAAGTTGAAAGAAAGGAGCTGAAAGAGCAGAAGACTCTGGGTGCTGTAATTCATTGCAGCATTTAAATTGAGTGGCAGTATCTCTGATGATGCAGCAGAGGTGATAGGAATGTAGCTTTAGCAGCTGGAGTGCAGAGAGAAGAGGCCTGGTCAGAAGAGCAGGGTGTGCAAGTCTGGTTACTACATATAACACCAAGAGATGATAAGCATTGCCATTCATATAATATAGCTTAGTAGCAAAATAGTAGTGGCAAAAGCCAAGCCCCTGCGAGTGTCCACTGTACTCTAGGCATCTATGCTCAGCATTTCTGCAAATGTTTCTTAGAATTAAGAACTCTGAAAGTGTTCTTGCTGCAGGGTTTTTCCAAGAAAATACTTCTGTTCTGCTCTGAGCCAGCAAAAAGTAACAAAATCTATCTTCCCAGAGTACAGGTGAGGGGGCTGGCCACAGAGCCCTTCCCACAAAGAAAGGGGAGTGGAGTACACTCACATTGAGGCAAAGAGAAGGGAAACATTCATGGCAATCTTTGGAGGCTTTTGGAGAAAGTGCTGTCCTGTCCACAGAACAACTGTAGATTGTTCACGGAGACTCTCTTGTCTCGTGAGCAGAGGTTATTGTAAAAATAAGTCATTAAAAGGGTAGAGTGAATTTAATACAGAAGCAGAAATTGGAGTGACTAGGGACAGATAGAAAAAGAAGAACAAAATGCCCACTCAGCACATGGGGACAAGCAAGAGGGTCCACTGAAAGGAGGGATGTATCTCCAAGATGAGGCACTCCCAGCAACAACAGCTTCCAGCACCCATTTGCCTTTTTCTCACTCCCCAGTGAATGCCTCAGCCTAGAACTCAGCAAGGTTAGGGGCACGTGAGCCTCACCCTCATCTGTCTCTCATAGCAGCAAGTCTCCTCAGCCCCAAACATGGGGAATGCAGCCAGTCACTGACCAGGCTCTTCAGAGGCATGTAGAAAAGGTAGCTCTTGACTCAGTGCTTTAAATCTCAGGACTCCTTCCTCCAAGTCGATGCAACACTAAAGAAGGGGAGAGCCAGTTACTTGTTGGACATTTCAGACAGCAAATCTCTTCATGTCTATGACTGGGAAAAGCCTGTATAACCATCAAACAACCCCAGTTTGGGTTTGTAGAGACCTTACAGTTCCTCTTCCTGTCGCCCATTCCTATTCCCTTCAATGGATTCTTCTCCAAACCCTTCACAGGGCTGTTCCCCTCCCTTCCTCCTATGACTCCCTCTGAGGTGATGTCTTCGCATCACTCGGGCATTCAAACCAATGCATTTCTTGCTTTAGGAGTCTAACATGTGGCTACAAATATTTGACAAGCAGGAGCAAGCTTGTTGCAGCCATATTCTGAGCTACCCAGGAGCCACCTCAGCAGAGCACTAACCCCGAGCTGAGCTGACAAAAGGAGAGGACTCTTACCACCCATGTCCAGCTAGTGTTGGACACTGAATGTGATCAGACAGCCTCATTTGGCTCAAAAGCAAGGGCAGAGCTTGTTCACATCTGCCTTCAAAAGGCAATACAGATATAACTCGTAACACAGTGTGCCTTGGCTTTTCTAGTCTCCTCTTCAGTTTTCTCTTCCTGTTTGCAACTTGTATGGTCAAGAATACAACGAATGAGAAATGGGATAGTATCCTATTGGGTGATTCCTTTCTTAAAACCTTCAAGAAGGACTAGAAAGAAATCAGTGACTCAGAGCATACTGCAGCCAGCCGGGCAATTGTGCAACAAGCAGTGTAAGTGGCACCCTGGAAGACCTGGCCATAAATATTTCTGATGCTTCCAGCAACCAAATCTTGGAGAACTTGTTGAGAGGAGCTGTTCCTTACCTTGAGAGACACCAGAGTCTGGAGACCAATGCAAAACTCCAGCGTTTCATCATCTGAGAAGAGAGAAGAGACTGGTCAGGCTCAAGACTATGTATACTGCCCCTCTAAATAAAGTGTCTCTCCTGTAAGAGGATGTGCAGTACAGGAGCACCTGGTTCATGAACTTATAGGGTTACGGTCTATTCAGTATAAAGTAAATAACAAATAACAAGGAAAGTGATGAATTAAACACACAAACATTATCAAGCAGGTGGTAACAGTGACAATAACAAAGACCAGCACTCTTCTGCCACTGACTGATGAGCTGTTAAAGGAGCTACTTAGGCACAGACCCAAAGGGGGTCAAAATGAACTTTGTAGCTGGTAAGAGGAGAGAACCATGATTATCATGAGTATTATGAGACATTTGAGGGGGTTTCTGGGATTGTTTGAAACTTACTATGAGATATCAGAGGGGGCTTGTGGGATCATGTAAAACTTACTATGGGCTGTGTAAGGGAAGGGCCAAAGGCAGGAGAAGGCACGCAGCAGGGTGGATCAGGGAAGAACAAGCATGGAAAAATGGAGAGGAGGGGAAGTAAGGGGGCCAGTCACATGCAAGCAGGCTGTTGATCAGTTCACTTGCCTGTCCGAACCCTGCGCCTGATCTGACCTGACAATCTATCTGACCTTCTTATTAAATTATTTCATGAAATAATTTTTTTTTCTGTTTAACCTCTCTATTCTACATGTTGCTGTTGCAAGTCTTAAGTGCCAGCAAGTGTAGAAGATGCCATGTGTTAAAGGGCAAATAGCTCTAGATGTCAGCAACTGGAGGGACTGGCATGCAAGAGATGTACCAGTTAACTGAAGGGACCACAGGCTGTAGGGCTCATAGGGCTGTGTCAGCAACTGCAGAAGGGGATGTAGCTCCCAGATGCCAGCAACTAGAGAGACCAGTGTGCAAAAGAAGTCTGGGTGCCAGCAACCAGAGGGACTGCAATGTGTGCTGCAAGGTCTAAGTTCCAGTAACTGGAGAAGGACTACAGGTCACAGAGCTTGTAGTTCTAGGTGCCAGCAACTGGAGAGATATGCATGCAAGAGAGCTCTGGATACCAGCTCTGACCAGGGTCACAGGGGCCTTAGGTTTATAAGCCAGAAACTGAAGAGGACAAGGCATATGTGTGAGACATCTAAATGCCACTAACTAGAAAGTCTTGGGTGTGTTTATATTTCCCCAGTGAATTTTATCCTATATGCTTGTGGTTTTGTACACATAATTAGCTAGCAATCTTCAGTCTGGTCTAGCCAGTCAGTAGGAGGAAACCTGCATCTGGAAAGACTCAAGGTCCGTGTCAGTGGCTAGGTAAGGGGCCCAGGGTCCAGACATGGATATAAGACAGACCTAGAAGCTGTGATTCTATTCAAAGACTCTGTGAAGCGTGTGCTCCTGAGTCTAGAGACTGAAGATGTATGAGCTTCTGTCCTGGTCAGCCAGAGAGGAGGACCAGGACTGGGATATCTGTGCTGGTGTTTATGTGAGTGCTGGTAAAGGCACTGCTCTGCGTGTAGTAATCTGTGTGGCTGGCCTTGTCTGCATCCTCTCTGGATGTGCCTCTCTGGAATATATGTTCAGCCTTGCTACTGTCTGAACCTGCCACTAAGAACATGCATTGGACTGGGCAAGAGCGACCTCCTGGGTCTTAGAGTCATCCATCTGGATTTCAGTGGCAGGGAAGGAGGAATCCCCAGGTCCTGGAGTCTGCAGGATTCAGCAGCCACCAGTAACATCATTAACATTTCCTGTGTTTCCTGGATGCCTCCTTGCCCTGTGACCAGTGGCTGTATTTTACAGGGTGTGCACAGGGAGATGTAGCTCTTTACAGGCAGCCATTTTTATATCCCAGTGAAATGGATAGGTGCTATTGGGCTAAATTCGCCTGTGCTGGTACTAATACAGTCTACCCATGAAGGACAAGAACATGTAGAAGAGAAACTAGGGAAAAAGAGCAAGCTGGAGCATGGAAGAGGAGGAAGGTCTTTCTAGATGATTGGGAAAGAGGGAGGAATGGACATGAAAGAAGGAACAAGGGAGGCCTTGGAAGATGAATAGTAATCATCAAAGATGAGGAGACAGATAAAGGCAAGAGGGTAAAGCTAGAAGACTAATAGGGAGAAAGAACAGGGGAAAAAAAGACGACTAAGTTTTTTTCAGCATATGCACAGCTTGATGTAAAGGCAGAACATGCAGCCTTTCTGCAGTTTTCTGGGCATGCTGCAGTGCCTGCTGAGTTGACCTTGTCTCCTCTGGCTGCTTCTTTCAAAGGGTCCTGCCTCAGGACACTGAGGGAGACTCAGCACTCTGGGGCTACTAGGTTCTTCCAGGGAGCTCCCTGCAGCAGAGGCAGATGAGTACACAGAGAAACACTCTGGGGAATAAGCTGTACCCTCTGTCAGTTTCTCTGGTAACCTCCATCCAGCCAAAGGCACCACTGCCCATTCAATAGGAGAACATAGGGCACCAGAGGACTAATCAAGCAGTCTGGATAATTTTAAGAAAGGTCCATCTTAGAAGGAAATGAGAATTTTCCACATCCTGTGTTATGACCAAAAAGCACTTCATTTCTCCCCACTTTCAACATCTTCTGTCTTCTCTGTACTCTTCCTATGTGCTTTGCCTTTGGTTACACTGAGGGTATTCACAACGCATAATGATCTATCTTGGCCAGCAGTGGAGGTGACCGCATCACCAACCTCCCACTACATTATGCTTTTCCCAGAGATCCTTTTAAATGCCCTTGGCAAGGCAAAAGGGACACAGGAAAACTGGGGGAGAGGAGGGGCTGGCACTCTCACCTACAACCAGTGCTGAACACAGCACTGTCTCCTGGCCAAATTGCAACTCCATATGTTCTACTCGGCCAACAACGCTGGGGATGGGAAGAGAGAGGTCTCCACAGTCCATGGCAGACACTTCTTCCAGCCTGTGGGACACAAGAGGTGTTATTGCCTCAAGTGGAGGAAGAGGAAGAAAAACAGGACTTCTCACTGATGGCAGTACTTCTTGGTCTCATTGGGAACAGGCCCAGAAGAGGAGGAATCTCTTTCTTACAGCATGTCTGGAGGCAGATTCCACAAGCAAACCATAAGGTGCTGTCCATTTGGGTTCCTCACCGCTGAGGCTAACTATCAGCTGGGCAGCTTTGCTCTGCAGTACACACAGATACAATGACACAGCTCTGCCTTCTAGTCTGGGGTCTGCACACAACTTTGCCAGTGCTTCTGATGCCTTGCCCTGTAGCCCACCCTCTGCATCTTCTCCTAAACAGCCATGTGCACATGCAAAGCTGCTAGTAATTATCACTGGGGCTGGGAATAGAATGCCTATGTTCTTGTTATAGGTTTTCTTTTAGTCACCCCTCCTTTTCCACTGTGCAAAGACTTACCCCAGCTGGTTTAAACAGCTCTTGGAGATGAGATTTGGTAGACACCCAGTGTTAACAGTCGCTTTCAATACCTGACCTTGGCACTAGAAAAAACAACAACATATAATTACTGTGGGGTCAAAATTAGCTTACCCACTCCTCCAAGAGTGTAACAATCCCTTAGACCTTCCTTAGCAACACAGCCAAAGATGTGGTGTTTTAGGCAGCAGTCATAGGGCAGGAGACTCATCCAATACAACAGTGGTCTCCCCAGTGCTCTGCCAAAGGCTTCTTTTTGAATTTGTCTTCTTTAGTTTGTATTTGATTGCATAGACACTTATTTGTTATTAGCAACTTTAACTTAGTAATATTCCAGTCAAAAGATGCATAACAAGTGAATTTGTTTGGAAAACCCACATGGACTTTATTGGCAGAGCAATAATTGATATGACAAAAACTTCTAAAGGAATATAAGCATGTGCTAGAGCCTTTGTAGGTTTCCTCTCTCCATTTCTTCTGCTGTCACAGGGAACAACGTTCCAGGACTAGACGTCGGTTCTCAGTTGAACAGCTTCCAGAAGAAGTCTGTGGGAGAAGCCAGAGCACCCAGGACAAGCATCCCTGAGAAGAGCTCGAATTTATGGCAGTTCCCAAGGTAACTGACACATCCAAGTGACTCTTGAGACCAAGAAACAACATAATCAAGAGGTGTCTATTTTGTGTGGGGCTTACATTAAGTTCCCAGACAGCTCTTTAAGGAAATATGGCATGAACACTACAACTACAATATTCACAGGTGGTGCCATCTAGCAAAGGGAGAGACTGGATGCCCTGCACCCAAGTCACGTCTGCATGATCTTACTGGAACAATCCCCAGTGCCTTGTCTACTTCATTGCTTCACCCCTTTGCACTTGAAAGGGAAAAGGAGATGTGGTTGCCATCTGTTTTTTGTCCCCTCTGCGCGTAGGTCCTTAATGGCAGGCCAGAGGTGCTGAAGTAACAGCAGGTCTCATATATGGTAGAGGTCTGAAAAAATAGGGTTGTCAAGGACATCAATAAGAGTTATGTTCAGAAAAAAAAGGAGCAGGACTTAGTAAAGAAATTAGAAAATATGGAGTAACTGCCATCTACAAAATATGGCTTGCACCTACCTATAGTGCCTAACCATACCCATTCTTGACAGCCTAGTTCTTCAAAGCTCTGTCTTGCACCAACACCCCAAAAAACCCCAACCACAAAGTTTCCATCTTGGGAGGCTCATTTTCCTCCTCCTATCATTTGTATTTTTCCTGCGATTCCTTCTCTTCCATCAACTATGGCACTCAGTGTCATGAGCCAGTCAGAAGCAGCAATAGACCTCCCACAGCTCCTCTACCCTTATGCTTATTCCTGATGAGCTTAAATGCTTTGAACACCTTAAGCAGATCAGCATGACCACTGGGGACTCAGTGCAGCACCAGTAGGGTCAAAGAAAATGTCTCCGTTTCCTCATTTCTTAACTAAATTTGTTTATGATTATTACATGGGTTAATCATCACAGAGAGCTACATCCAGTATTTCCAAGATTTCATTTTCAGAAATGTGGTATTTGTGAGTTATTATAAAGAGAAAGGAGAAAACTCTTCCTGTAAGAAATACGGTAATGCTGCAAACAGATACACCACCAATAGTACCTTGAGTGCTAATTGCACTCAAGGCAACCTCAGAGAGCACATCAAGCACTTCAAGTCTGTTTTGTCTTGGAGCTCTTCCTCTGGTCTAAAATGCATCTGCAGTACACCAGCATAGAGAATTTAATCATTCTGAACAATTAGACACACCATATTCCTAGAATGGCCATTTAGTTGAGAAATTCTCTAGCACTGCAAGACCACTGGAGCTAGAGATTTCAACCTATTTTGTTTTACAGAGTTTACCAAGAATCACGTGAGACTCATATATGTATATATGATGTATAATCTGTGATTTAAATAACATCAGTGAGTTTAGAAGGATGAGCTTTCACCATGTGTGGCCTCATCCAGGAACAAGGAGAGCAGTCCTCAAGCAGTATCTACACAGAAAATGTGCACAGATGCTTATTTTCAACAGCTCCTGATTTGGTTATTATACTTTTTCTTCTTTAATGTGAAAAAGCATGTCTTACTCATAAAGAATTATGTCCAGTTAATTAACAGTCCCGTGTGACTGCAAACACTTGTGACTTCTTACAACGCCCAAGTGATGCATATAATGCTTAATACTTCAGGAAAGCCAATTCAATCCAAGGCTGCTCTTTGGCACATGGTATGAAAATTGCCACAGAAGTACAAAGTCATGGGCTGGGAGAGCACAAAACTTAACCAATCCAATACCAGCCGGAAGATTCATGGAACAGGGTCAGAGACAGAGAAACCAAACCCCAGAAGCTCTCTTTGCAGTTTTTTGCACATTCATACAGGAATATTCCCACAGCTCCTTCATGGATGAGCAGTCCCATTTCACTGTGGAGCAGCTTGAACTGCCATCCCATGGTAATACAGATCACGCATGACAGAGCTGGTAGGAGATCCATCTGAGCTGTTGCCTATTCCCAGAATGCACACCAATCTCTTGCCCTTCGTTCATGCATGCTTCCTGCCTCTTGGCACAAATATGCTTTAAGCAAGTTGAAGAGCGTGCTAGAACCTCACGGAAGGGGAAGAGCTGCAAAGCGCTCTATTTAGAAGCTCCTGACTTTGGCAATACTTCTGCTTGTTCAAGGAAAAACATTTCCATCATGGCTCCAGGCTGCCTGGCATGTCAAGTTTAAACATTCAGGACTAGGCGTGGTGCCTGCCCACAGAAGCCCCCAAGGCCAATTGGAGAGATGCGACCTTACCTCATGATCACAGCTGTTTGTGGCAAAACAGCTTTGGTATTACGAAGTCTGGACTTCTAGAGAGAAAACAGCCTGGAAATTGACTGGACCCAGAGGACTGTCCCTTATTGCTGTCCATGGCAGCAGGATTGGAAATCAATGATCTTTAAGATCCCTTCCAACCCAAACTATTCTATGGTTCTATGATTCTATGAAAAATTGCCTCCTTTTCTGCTTTTAGAGCTCTAGTGCAGTCTGGTCCTCACTGACACATCAGCCCTGCCTGAAAGGATTGTGGCCAGATTAGGCAAGGCCACAAGGCAAGAGGCAAGATAAAGCACAAAGTGCAGATACATGTTAAGCATCTCCCTGCTCATCCTCTATACTCTGCCTCACAGAAGAGGCTTTCCTGTGCCTCCTCACTATCTAAGCAGGTATATTAGCCATGAGTGTCAGCTCAGATATGCTACCACATCTGTCCAGACTGCAACCTACCAACTGTCCAGCTGAATCAGCCCTTCCTCATTAACAGACATGGATTCTACTGGGAAGGAGTTAACCATCGCTGTGGCTCACAGAGGTCAACTGTTCCTTGCCCAGCTACAGAAAAGACATTGTAGCAGTTTTTCAGAAACAGAAGACCTGGAGTATGGATAGCAATTGCTAAGGAGTCACTTTGTGAGCAGACAGACCTGAGATGCATGAGATGTTAGCATTATTGTGATAATAAACATAAAATGTATCACTAGGCAGATTCTTGAGGTTTCTTCAGAGCAGGCTGGGAAAGTTGCAAGTTAAAAACTTTCTAGGACATAACAGGACAGTGATTATTCTGTAGAAAACAACATTTCATCTCATTGAGCTCCAGCAGCCTCACAAAAGCTATCCACCGTCCAATTATACTAGTAACTATTTGCCCAGAGAACTCACCAGGAGTCTGAAGAGTGTCCTTGATCCAGCATAGCACAAATACAATGCAGATTAGGTAAGAAGTACACAGGCAGCTGAAGAGCACTGCAAGCCTTCTTGGACTAAGAGGACGTCTCACCACATTACATACTCTCATCTCTGCCTCAGAGCTGTTACTGCCAGTCACCATTAGTTTTTATCTAAAAATCAATTACGGGGATTTCCAAGAAAGAAAAAGAGGGGAGAGGAATAAGCAAGAATCACCATTTATAAAGAGCTTTGTTTCCTGAAATAATGTCATTTCCAAAGTCAAGAAGCTGCTTTAACCAACCAAGACTGATTAATTCCAGGTTGCTTTGGCACAGAGGAAAAGCAGCTTTGGACAGCAGTGGAATATTTCAGCATTTGTTTCCAAATCAACGAGAGACAAGCCCCACCACAAAAAATAACAGCTTGATTTTATGATGCAGGTGCCAGTCATGGCAAGTGTTCCAAAGTGCTTTGCAAAAACTGCCACAAAAAGGGGCAATTCTACTAAAGTACCACGTGAGCAACCCACCTAAGTAAATAGGAGGGTGAGTGACTCTGCAGTACAGCTATTATAGACCAGGTCTGTCTGTGATCTCTGTAACTTAAAAAGGCCGTAGGCACAGGACAACTATAACCTGTTAGAGTGAAAACACTTATTGCCTGAATCTTTCTGTGTCACTGAAGTCTACATATATTCAGCTTTATTTCCTAGTCAAGTTCAGTTACTAGTTAGGTGAGGCATTTGTTACCACTTTGAAATTTTCAGCATACTTGCCTGAGTGTAAATGGAATCTTTTTGCTGGTAGATGATCTTTTCTCAGAAGCTGCTGTCAGAGAGAAGAGACCTCACTGGGGTCATGTTCCATTTCTAATAAAAACTATACCATAGTCAAGCAGTGCTCCAAAAAGTACCAGCTCACCTCTCTGGTTAAAATGAACTGGCAGCCTGAGGGCTATTTTCTGCCATAGATCTGTTACTTACAGGCAAGGCTTTTTGAAGTTCACAAATGTGAACGTGAAAAGCAGCAAGACTAAAAAGAAGAGGAGGAGAACTTCCCTTCCCTCAATGTAAGAAGATTAAGTGTGGCAAATGGTGACTGGCTCTTAAGAAGGGCAGAAACAGCGAGAGATGCCTGTGCAGAAGGTGCTGAGTTTAAGGAGAGTTAAGTGCAGCATTAGACCCGTTTCCTTGACTGTGATGTTCATTAACCTTCCTCCATGAAGGAAAATGTAATGTGTGTGACAGCTGGGGTACATTAGAAATATAAAATGGGAACAAGTAGTGGACTCTGATGCTGAGTTAGCTACTGCCTCTGGGTTATGATACCTATGCATGCCTCCAGGAAAGCAGGGCTCACTCCATCACACATAATGGATACTTGGGAAGCTAAACAACATCACTCCAAACGTTCCCCCTTCCTTCTTCTTCCCTCAGCTTTATATACTGACCATGACATCACATGGTCTGGAATATCCCTTTTGTCAGTTGGGGTCAGCTGTCCCAGCTGTATTGCTTCCCAGCTTGTGCCTTCCCAGCCTGCTCGCTGGCAGGGCGATATGACGAGCAGAAAATGCCCTGACTGCCTAGCAACAACTAAAAACACCAGTGTACTATCAAAAGAATTTCTCATCCCGAATCCAAACCATAGCACTACACCAGCTGCTAGTAAAAAAGTGAACTCTATCCCAGCTGAAACCATGGCACTCTTACAGAACATACAGAGCGGTGATTAAAGAAACACTTTTATTTGATCAAAAAAAGACTCCAGCTATTTGGAGAAATTACACGGAGAGCCATTCATCCTACTAGTCTGTTTTCCCAAGTATGGTTAAGTTAACCTAGCTGCATCAGAGCCTAAAACCCAGGGTAAACAATGCCTAACTGCAACAGTAAAGGCTGGAAAACAAACCAGACAGTGGCTTTGTGTGGTCCTGAGACACCTGATCTGAACATTTCAGAAAATTGCTACCAGGTCATGTTCATATGATAATTAATTGTGCCAACTGAATTTTCAAAGGTGTAGGCGTTTTTCCTGAAAGTGTAGACTTCACACGCTAACATGTGAGATGTTCTTTAGGACAGGTAACTGAAATAAACACAACTTTAAAATAGATTTTGTATACCAGGTCTATACCTTGGTGAGTCTCATATCTGCATATTACTGAACAGCTCTAACCATGCAGCCCTCTTTCATGGGGCACAGCTTGTGGATGTGCCTTCTTACCTACAGGGGCCAGGGAGGACTGTGTTCTGCTGTATAGGAGGATGTAAGAAGAAAAGGGAGCTAAAAATACTGCTTCCATCAAGGAATGCAACAGTGCTAATTCAGGGCACGTTTAGACACTTTCTTAGGAGGTCCTTTGACACCTGAGAGAATCAGACCAGACTGAATCCAGTAAGCGTAAATCAACTAGGGGCACCTGTCCTAAAGTGATAAGGAGACACTCCTTGCTTCTGTATGCAGTTATGAAATACCTCACACCATGGGAAAGCTGGCCTCCAAAGGAAGGAAGTGTGATTAATGTAGCTTACCTTCCAATATGGACAACTAGAACACACGTAGCAGAAAAGCTTTCCTCTCTCTGCTGGAAGAACTGAAGGCCATGTGGGAAATCTGCTCTCTCTGGCTGCAGCTGGCTTTGCAATTAATAACTTAGCATGGCCCTTGGGAGTGGGGCAGCTGGAGCTCATTGCGCATTTGCCATCACTGTGAAATCAGCAGCACCGTGTTGTTGCCTTACCTGGCACTGTATTAGCAGGAGTGAAGTCTCTTTTCTCCTGTCCTCCTCCTTTTCCATCTTTTCATCCTGATCTTTTGCTAGCGGAGATTGAACCCGTGCAGACTGAACCCTGGTCTCGCCCCGCAGCTTGTTCAGATTGCCTTCCAAGAGACGCCGCTGGACCACGCTATGTGGCTGCTGTCTCCATGACAAAGAAAAAGAAATCCCAGCTAAGCATGGAGCTAAGGACAAGGACATTTGCTAGCCCATGGAAGCAGATTGCAAATACTTGACCCAACTGATCATCCTGGTGAAAGACAGGCTTATCCCAAAAAGCTTCCTTTAAATCCCGAGATTTTTTTCTGTAGCCACTAAGGTGACGTTAAAGTTTTGGGCTGTGACAAGCAGGTCTCTGGGATATATCTGTTCCTTCAGCTAAACATGGACTTGACGGTCTCATACCTGTTCAGGTACTGCAATACACTACCCAGTGGGCGTGTGCTGACATCCAACCAGGCACGCTCCCATCTTCTAATGTGGGACATAGGACGCAGCATGTGTGTGATGTACATGTGGGTAAGTAGGCAGGACAAGCAATTATTTGTAGTGAAGCAGGAAGCTTCCTCTGCACAGGAAATTAAAACTAGTTTCTAATGTTCTTTGGAGTCTGTCTCTGCTCCCCTCCATCAGAACTGATACTATTTGGACTCCCTTCCTAGCTGAAGGAGCATCTATGAAGTGCCCTGGTTTGAGGTAAAACAGGACCAACTTTGTTCAGTAACTTTACTTTTTAGCTGGGCCTCTTCTAATTATTGAAATTAACTATTAACAAAACTATTGAAATTAACAGCATATTATGCAGACACTGTTTTCTCTCAGAGTGATAAGACCTGTGTTTATAGCTGATGCCAAGGAACGGCATGCAGAGAGGCTCCTGCTTATACTTATTGCTATAACACCCACGAGCAACCAACTTTATTATTTGCCCCCTTGGAGAGTCAGAAGCAGAAACGAGTAGAGACCTCCTACATGCAGGGAGGACAGATGACCCAAAACTGACCAACAGGGTATTCCATCCCATCTGCCTCATGGTAATTATAAAAGCTGAGGGATCAAAGGGTCAGCTCTCTCTTTCCTCGATAGCTGGTGTCCAAGGAGGACTCTGTGTGTTCGTATGCCTTTGATCCTGAATCCAGATCCAGAATGCAGTTCCCATCCATCACTGAGTCCAGTCTGGGACTTCCCCAGTGCCAGCTGGTGACATGATTGGCATCCTGGGAGCTTGATACAGTTTTCTATATAATTCATTATTTTCTTTTTATTTTATTATTCATTAAAGTAGTTTAGTTCCTTCTAAACTCATAAGTCTCTCTCTCTCTCCCCCCTGACTATTTTTTCTTTTTTTTAAAGAGACGTAGAGGGGGGAGCATCTGTCACTCACCCCGTGGCTGGTTTGACCCAAACCACAACAGAAGCCCTACGTTGTTCACAGCTAGAAGGGAGAGCCATCCGCAAGATCAACAGCTGAAGGAACTTTATTCCTATCTCATTCCTATCTCTTTTCTTCTGGGTGGAAGACGGGGAGGTGCACCCAAAGGGAAGAAAAATCGTGAATGCCTTCTTGTCCCAACCTTGCATACACACACGGGAAAGTGTTGCTGTAGGAAGAAAACTCCCTTTGTCATCAGCTTGGTGCTCTGTTTTTTGCCCAACATTGATCCAGTGTCTCCAATCCCTGCACAGCTACTGAATCAACAATGAGCAGCATCAGTGAAGTAGGCCTGTTGGAGGTAACTTTGTCCTTCCTCCAGGTACTCAGCCCCATGGCCTTTCCCCAGGAGAGCAGCTGCTCAGAGCTGACAATAGTGTTCTCAGTAACAACTGCCTATGTGAAGAAAGGCAACAAATCTGAAGGGGCTAATGTGCTACAGCATAAACCATTGTTTTTATCTTTCTCAAAAAGACATTTAAAAAATGAACTTCCAGATGGTGCAGCAGTTTGATATACAATCTTAACAATGTGCAGGCCAAACATCTGAATTAGACCAGACCCGCCAATGAGTTGAGCTGTATTAACCCTACAGGGTGTGTGTGCTTCAAACAAGCTTTATGCTTGGTCAGCAGGCTGAGGCCACAGAAGCGTGTAAATTGCAACTAGAAGCATGCTGACTTCTCAGTTTTGCCCAATAGTTGGAGTAGGAGAGAGTTATTGCCTCTTTGGTTGCACTCAGCATTGCTCTTTGCAAGGTGCCAAGTCCCTCATGGCTCTGTTTCCCCATCACTCCAGGGGTGAGAGTCAGAGCGTTCACATGCTGCATGAGAAACACTGCAGTAGTTGAAAAAGTGAGGTAAAAATATCTCTCCATTCCTAGTCTTTTCCCAGCCTACTGTGCAGACCCACAGCACAGCTGGCCGTTGTACTTCACTCCCTAAATACTCTGAACACAGTGCCAGTTTTGGCTGCTAGCTAACATCTGGGCCGTGGGAAAAGGGCAGGGAACCTACAACAGGTCTCCAAATTCCCATACTCCCTCCTGTCTCCTCTCACAATCTGGCAAGCGAAGGACCTTTCCCTCTCCCTGCAACCTTTCCCACAGGAAGAGCAGGTCCTTTGTAGCTGCCACCTCTGTCTCCTTCTTGTCACTCAGGCTGGGAAGCAGCCAAGCACCGATGGAGTAGCACTGATAGAGTAGCTGAGCTTTGGGACCGTGGAGGTATGGGATTCAAGAGCAGATTACTGTGGCCCTCCCTGTCTTCTGTTGCACCAGTGAGACAGAGAAGTGGAGACCATTGTGTCTCTTGGGTTGGTAAGAAACAATGAGATGAAGGGGATGGTGAGGGAGGACCTGAAGCAGCTGGAAGGGAGGCCCTCTCAGGACTCTTAGAAGGGTCAGAGTGGGTTTCCAGTGTAACTCATCAGGTTCAGGCTCTCCAATGTGAAATCTCAAGGCCTTGCTATGATTAGTGAAATGGTATGAGCTGGGGACCTTGATTTTTGGGAAGGGAGACCTTCTTGGTAAAGTCAGAAGATTTTAGATGATGAAGCTAGTTTTGTTGTTTTTCCATTAAAAAAAAATAATCAAAGTGTCATGCTTGTAGTTGTTACAAAGCTGAAAATGTGAGTTCTCCACTGAAATGTATAATTACTCATTGTTGGAGATGTGATGGGAGCATCAAATCCCAGGCACTGCTGGATGCATTGCATAAGCTGAATGTACACCCAGAATACACAGAAAAGAGTGGCAAAAAGTAACAGCCTGACTTTGACTGTATAAGAAAACACGTTTTTTTCAAATGTCATGGGGCCTTGCTCTAATTTTAGGACATGCAGGGCTGCCACAGCTGGAGTCAGCCACTGTCAGTGTAGACATGTTTTGGGGAATTAAACTCTCCTCCCAGTGTAAGGGCTACAGGACTCTGGGGTGTTTTGCACTCTCTCCAAGATCATCCTCTCCAGCGCTTCCTGCTTCTGCTTTGTTTTCATCCCTGCATTCCTGTTCCCCAGGAGGGAGCCAGATCAATTTAGGAAACATAGGTGGAGTTTTGTACAGGGCTGAAGGAGTGCCTGAAAGCATATTTTGGACTCTGATTTGCAGTCCCCCAAAACATCACAGCAATATCACAGCGGCCCATCAAGTCGCAGGGACTGCTGAATTGCTCTTGGAAATCTAAGGCCTGGTTCTTTTCTTGCTCCAGAAATGGAGGTACCACAGCTACTGCATTGACCCTACGTATTGCACTATGTTTATGAACTTTGCACAGGTGCCACACTTTATTTTGTGCCTTCTAACACCAGTGCAACATTTCCATGGCAGAAGAGATGTTATGCTTTATTCACTGCTCCCTAGCTCCAAGGTAAAAATGTTTCAGCGAGTCTGTTACAGGCCAAACATGAACTATGCAGTGGTTTTGAGTGACCAAAATGCCATCTGCATGTGACGAAGTCTCTGGCCTGGAATGGTTAATTTGACCAGGAGAGCTGCTCATGGCAAGCAATTTGGACAAGGCCTGTCTTGCTATAGCAAGCGTTTGGGGCTTCAGGGTGCCAGCCTCTGGTGGCAAAGACTGACACCCATACTGTGCAGGACTCTTACAGAGGCCTCTGGCTGCCACCGCAGTTTTGGGGCATGGTGTGACGGGAGTCAATTCCAAAGCAAAGCAGGCAGACGTGTTTCTCTCTGCCTTTGTGGCTGGGATCAGCAAACGCGCACTAAGAGACTGAAAAGTGGCTCCTCCTCATTCCCTGCCAAAAGCTGCAACAAGAAAGAGCCCAGGGGTATGTCTGGCTATCCCCTCCTGAGGAGATGTTTCAGTTGCAACACTGCAGGGTGTGAAGGCTGGTGCTGCCAGTCTGAACAGGGAGCTCCAGGCTCTGGTGTAGCCAGACCTCCTCCCCCACAGGGAGGAGAGTCCCTGTTCCTTGCTAACATGACACTTGTGTGGCTCCCCTCTTGTACTTCAGACAGCAGCTGTGTCCAGGGCCAGAGGGACGCTCAGGACTAGTCCCTTTGAAACAGCCGTGTGTACATCTGCAAAGGGCTGGCAGAACATGACGTGACAGCTCAGGGTGACTTTGAGGAGCCACCCTTGACCCTGCCAAGCCAGGGACTTTCAGCAGCAGCCGAGGCAGCTGCAGGGGAGGGTGGCGGGAGCAGGAGGGTACGCCAGCACAGGAACATAGCACTGACCCCTCATCTGCACACAGCAGAGCCTCTGCACCCGAAGGTTTCAGCAAGGGGGATGGCTTCAGGCCCAGTGCCTGGGACTCTGCCTGTCCCACACACGTGTGGCCCTGTGCGTAGCAGTACCTCGCTGCCGGCAGCCATGGGGCCTGCCATGGGAGCCGGGAAGGGACTGCAGGAGTTACACACAAGCACCCGTGGTGCTGCTGCAATGATCTGAGGATACAGAAGGAAGCACGGGCTGCAGGGAGGGGCAAGGTCTCCTATGACACCCACTGGCACAGCTGGAATAAATGGTTGTGTCCACATCACTGGCCAGACCCAGGCTCTCTTTTAGGGCCTTTTCCCCTTTTTAGACCTCCACATCCTTGAGCAGTTAAACTCGGCAGTAGAGAGGAGAAGTCAGACAGCAAAACTGCCAGAGCAAGGCGCAGATGTGTGCAGTTAAGTCAGCAAGAGATCCCACAGGAAACGGCTCCCCTGCTTTGGGACAAGTTCCTCCAGACCAGAGACTGCCCAGGCTCCTGGAACAGATGCCCTCCCTGATGCTTCTTGCTCCACATCTCCACAAGGAGACGCCCGCAGGCCTCACTCCTGTGCCTCCTCCCCAAAGGTGCTGGCCACTGCATCTGCCTGGGCACCTGGCTAGTGGTCCTGCCCTGTGCTTGCCCCTCCAGAAATCCAAAGAATGGGAGGAAAGAGGATAATGCAAAAAGGTGACAAGGTCAAACCTTGGAGTTTCATAAACTGTGATTCCCTCCCTGCTGAATCCAGGAAGGAATCTGCTTTTAAGCTAGATCATGCAGGAATACATGGGGGTTTTCAGAGATGTCCCACATGGAAACATACATGTTAGATGAACGTATTTATGTACTGGGTGAGTGGAAAGTTGGATCCTGAGGAGTCGTTCCAGTCCATGTCTGCCTGCCTCTGTGAGGAGTTTTGTCCCTATGGGGATGCATGGGAAGGTGGATGCAAAAAATGGGCAATTCATTCTTTTCCCTCACCCTGACCTGCTCCTAGATGATGCTGAAGGGAAGTTTCATCTTTGCTGAACCCATGACCCTTTCACAAACCTGGCAGCAGTTCCCAAGTGGGATGAAGGCTATTAGGAGCACCCCCTCCCAAATGGGGTCCCACTGGACTCACCAGATCCTTGGAGGTGCCAAGCCTTGTCAAGCCGTCCAGGGGCAGCAGGTCAGCAGAGTCCTTGTGCACAAACTGAGTGGCCTGTTTAAGGCGCCTCTTCTGTTGCAGTATAGCTTTGTTCCTCAGCTCCACCTCACGCTCTTGTCGCTCCAGGTCAGGAGTACCCTCACTCTGCTTTTCTTCCTGGTGTCCTTGTTCCAGTGGCATGGGGCAGCTCTTCCTTGTGCTCATGGTGAAGATTCAGACAGAACAGGTCCTTCTTGATATGCTGAGGTGTCCCCTGCACTTGTCTTCTGGTGTTTGCCCTCTTCAGGCTGACTCAGTCTCTGAGCTCCTTTCCCTTCCCTACAGCTCTCCTCTCCCTTTCTCTGCCTTTCTTACTGCTCTCTTAGTTATAACTCACCCATCTCTGAGGTGTCTCTGTGCCTTTTTCTCCCTCTGTCCTCCCCACTCTGCCGGTGTCCCTCTTCCTCTTCTTCTCTTCTCCTGCCCTGACTGCAGCTCTGCCTTCTCCAGTCGGTGGGTCCCTGTCGTAACAGAAAAAGCCCCACGTCAGAAACCAATTTCCATAAATTACAGCAGAGCCTGCAAGATGCTCCAGCTGGAAAAATCCAGCAGCAGAAGGATGGCCCCGCTGCTGGGGGCTGGACTTACCTCCCTCAGGCTGCATGTGCGCACGCGCGCGCGCTTGTGTGTGTGTGTGTGTGTACACTGCCTGTTCCCCTCAATACGCTGAAGAGACAGTAAATCTCTTGGTGGCAGGCTGTGCAGTTCAGTGTCTCTGCTGGTGGGGCTTTGACGCATCTCAGTGAATCTGTAAATACTGGTAACAACATGATTCAGTCTACAAGATGATGCAGTGCCTTGGTAAATGGGAGAGAGCATCTGTCTCAGGGTTCCTGGCAGGCATGCACGGTCTCATTTCTGCAGAGAGTGTCACACATTTGGAATAGGCTGCACCGGAGGATTTTACTGTGCAGCTTGAACAAAATGCTGAAGGCCTGATTTCTGCTTCCCGCCAGGGCAAATGTATTGGGCCTGACTCTGCCCTCATTTTCACCCTGCTCCATCTGCAGCTGAAGTTGCAGAAACCTAAAATCACTGGCTTGTCAATACCAGTGGACTTGACTCCCTGTTTACACTCCGAGTATGCTGACATTGCTGCAGTGTGAGATGTCTAGACCAGGGCAGATATCCCTCCTCTCAGGGGAGAGAGGACATGGCAGAGCTCACTTTTTTAACTTCCTGCCTCCACATTGTCCTGCCTGAAACTGTAAGTTTAAATTTGAACTGAAGCTGCTTTGTTTTGATCCCTTTTCATGAGTGAATACACTGCCTCAGTAAGAACCAGTTCTGACGTCATGTACAGAAGAAGAAACTGAGTTTTACTCAGCTATGAAGTTGAGGACAGCATTACCTTTCCATGAATGTCAGGTGGGGGTGAAACAGCTTTCACGTACAACATAAAAGGATTAACAGCAACAGACTATGAAAGTTACAGCAAAAGGAGTCTTGCTGTTGCTCCCTTTCTTTTTTTCCAGCTTAGTAGTATGTAACATTCCAATATTACTGATAGCAGTTATTTCTATGATCTAGATTGCATATAAAAATATAACACTGAGTTTGCAATGTTAGGAAGTAAATCCAATGTCCATGTACAAAGATGAGTCCAGTCAGCCACTGTAAGACCTCAGTGTGGCTGCAGAAACTACAAAAAAGTTGGCCTCAGTGCAAAGCAAACCATGTTTGCCTTTTAATCCCTGATAATCACCAGAGTGTGAGCATGTCTCTTGGGATCTTTGGTCCTCAAATGTTAGAAGGGAGGCTGGTCCTTTTTAGAGTAATTCTAAAATTTGAAGAGGTTAACCTTTTTGTTTCCAGTGTGCTAACTGCCTTACACAATGTATCATGGTTCCCACAGAAACAACTTGCAGAACCAGATTTGGCAGGAATGGGAGTATAAATATATTTTCACTACTTTACACTACAAGGCCAAACTCTAAGACCATAACGCAGGCAGAGTCCCATCAGGAGCTCAGCGGAGCTGTTTTCAACTGTCCTTGTCTCTCTGCAAGCTGAATTAAGAAGGGAGTTTAAATAATGGATATTCCCAGGGAAGCGGTGTTCCCACGGTCTTGTTTTCTTGCCTCTAGGTTGTCATGATTCCTGATTTACACACACTTTTGACCTCTTATGGCCTCACTGAGCATCCTTTGAGTCTTTTTATCAAGTTCTTTAACTATCCGCATAAACCAGTACTGACTCATACACCTCTATTCTCACACAGGGCCCTGTTTCCCTTCCTGCAGACTGTGAATACCTCAGCAGGCCAGCCTTGACAAGGCAGCTCTGCTTCTGCTGGCAGCAATAGCAGTGTCAATTTTCTTCAATCCTCAGAACAGACCTTGAAATTATAAAGTTGAACAGAACATCTTGGGACCAGATCCCCTACAGTCCCTGCCTTGAAACCTATGGGCAGGGTTACACAATTTCTGATGAGATGTCTCCAACCTTGGATGTGCGTGTAGGCACGAAGAGCAGAGAGAGCACAAAGTTCCCAGTCCCAGTTCCTCCTTGCAGCTAGCCACACTTTATTATTTGTTCTTGCCCTGCACTTTGGAAAAGCCCAATCAAAATTGGTTTGCATTGCAGCTGTGCTGGAGCTTGATTAGTCCTGCTTTAGGGTCTGACCAGCTAATCCTGACACTTAACTCACAAAATATTTCTCTCCTAGTGCCTCAAAGGGGAAAGTTCTTCAAATCTTATTTAAAGCTTTCTCCCCTTCTTCATCCCTTCTACTCCAAAGAGCAGGTCACTTAACTCTTTATATCCAGTGATGTGTTAGTTCCCAGATCTGGCAAAAATTCCTAGCATTTTGATGGAGGTGGAGTCATCTTCTCCCTTCAGAGGCATGCTGGGTTCTAGGTCACTGTTTTTTTTTTTTTTTTCTATTCAGCTATTACTTTTTCCATCATGTTCTTCTTAAACAGAGCCCATTTACAAATTGGTTAGGTGCTTACATTTTTTTTTTTTTTTTTTTTGCAGAAGGGACACTTTTAGAGGTTTTCTAATGGAGAGCCAGACCACAGTGCAGCAAATTTAAGTTTTTTCCCAGTAGCTATGCCTTTCCCAGTCATATTTTGTAGGCCTTGGAAAATACTGTATGACTCACCAACAACCAGTGTTAGAAAAATAAAACTGATTTAAATAAAAAACATTTATACACAATCCCATACACACTGAGAAATTATTTTCATTCTTAGATCCAGTCACATACGATAATCATAACCCGTTATACCTCACTATTCTCTATCCTTCATGCAGAAATTCTTGCAGGATGTATAACAGCGTTATTCAGACAATGGAAGAACCACTTCACCTCCACAGAAAACAAAAGCCCTCCTCCCTGCTTCTGCTAGGGGCTTGGCCTTCTAGCTCAAGCAGTCAGTGAGAGCTCTGGGTCAAAAGATTCCAGCTTCTCACCACAAAGCCACAGCACTGTGTCTGTGTTCATGGCTGTTGGTGACGGCTGTTGACCCCCTCCATGCCTGAGAAATGCTGAAGAATTCAGGACTAGTGCCCATACTTCTGAGGAAAGGCACTGAAAAGCAGCATTTCCCAGTAGGCAGCTTGCCCAGCCAAGAAACAGAAGAGGGTCAATATTCCAGTCAGCCAATATTCTATTCCATCCTTCCTTGTTGAAGAAATTAATGAACAGTACATGAAGTAGTGAAGGGAAGCAATGGACTCTTACTGAAAGAAGTAACTCCCAGATTAAAGAACATGAGACAAAGTAAAGATTTCACCTCCATCTGCTAGGAGCTTTAGGGAGCATCCCAGTTGTTTGAGAAGTTGCTCTGCTGAAGACGTTCACTGGTTTGACTTGAAATTCACAAGCTGAGGTTCTTTCACCACAGATTTTCCTTGTATCTCACCTCCGGGAAGCTTTACCTAACCTAACCATTCCTCTTTAAATTATTCTCCTACTACTTTTGCAACTTCTAATATTTGTTCCCTTGTCAAAGAATTCTCTTCAGCTTTGAATTTTTCTCTTTCAACAATTTAATTCACAAGCTGAGGTTCTTTCACCACGGATTTTCCTTGTATCTCACCTCCGGAAAGCTATTATTTTGTCCTGTTGTAGAGCAAACACAGTGCAGGTGGGAATATGGATTGTAGATAAAGTTTTACATTTCTTTTGTGTCAAACTGGGCTGTTACAGAGCTCAACAATAGTCCCCACATAATGTAACCAGATTGTTTCTACATTACACCAGTTTCCAAGGCACTGTCTCAGTCTGGTAGAGCAAGTTTCAAGTGGCTGTAAAAGTGCCCCTTGGCTTAGCAACTAGGTCAAGACAAGGATATTCCTTGTGGTGGCCCAGTACAGGATCGCTGTGAGATGACTTTCGGCTCATCCTCTTGCATTGTCACAGTTTGTGCACAGTCCATGGATGCACAGAGGGTCCAGAGGAGGGACAAGAGGAAAACCATATTCAGGCAAATTATGCATGCTTCTCTCTCCCCTTCCATCTCTGAAAAAAAAAATCTTTGGAAAAAAGCTTCCTCTGCTTTGAATTCCCTCCAGTTTGTCTATTTGGAAAAGAAAACATATTCCTATTCTTCAAATAATAAGTAACAGTTACAGTAATTATATCTGTGAATATGTCTGGCAAGTTTCCTTGAGATAAATGTCATCTCAGATGTACATTTTACATTTTTAGCTCAGCTGCTGGACAGCCAAGTGTGTCCTGCCAGTAAGGTCAGAAAGTAGAATAGTTTGCTTAATTAGGTAATTCCGGGTCAAGTCTCTGTAGTCATCTGCCGTAGGGCCCAGATTTATGAAAACACTGTGGCAAACTTGGAACAATGTTATCCAATATGAATTCCCCCTGCTGTATAAATATTGCTTGGAATGATTTGTGTCCTGTCTGTATTGATTTCACTGCTTGAGCTAAGCTGCATATAAAGGGGCCGTTTCTGTTTGGTTAGAATAGTTAGCATTGCCACAGAACAGTTGCTGATCATGCAGCAGGCAATACAAAATTCCCCTTTTCATTACATGGCTGCATTTATTACGCTAGATGACTTCAGCTTTGTTTTCACAACGGGAAAGAATATCCACTTTTATTACATAGTGCTAATGCACATAGGAATGGCAATTATCTTACTCATGTTAGAGCTTCTCTGTGCTCATATAGATGTTTAAAGTATAGACTAATTTCTGGTAGG